GGTTTCCCCAGCCACTCTGGGCGGCTTCCAACAAAATATTAAAAACACGATAAAACATCAAGCATTAAAAACTTCCCTAAACAGGGCTGTCTTCTTATGTCTTCTAAAAGTCAAATAGTTTTTTTTTATTTCTTTGATATCTGATGGGACGGCATTCCACAGGGTGGGTGCCACTACCAAAAAGGCCCTCTGCCTGGTTCCCTGTAACTTGGCTTCTTGCAGTTAGGAAACAGCCCGAAGGCCCTCAGGGCTGGACCTCAGTGTCCGGGCTGAACGATGGGGGTGGAGGCCCATGGAGCATTGAAGTCAGTGCCCCATCTAAAGCACTGCTAGCTCTCAGCTGCCAGCCAAAAGTGGAAGGTGCTGTTGTGCTTTTCTCATCCACTTTTTTGCTGCAGCAGCTCCAGCAGTGGGACCGTTTCAGGGCTTTATATTATCACTGGTGGGGCCAGACAGCGTTCCTCTCCACCCACAGAGTCTGCTAGAGAGGCTAACAAAGATTCAATAATGTGACTGGGGAGGAGGAAGAAGAAGTAGGATTGTATCCTCAGGAAACTATAAATGGAGGAGACGGCACTGACCTTCCTCCACAAGGTTGCCGATGATGAGCATGAAAACAAAAGTGCTTTATACATGATTAATAATTATCTTCCAGCCTGAGACTCTAGAGTCATATACTCCATACATTAACCAGCATTATTCAACTTAACGTTTAACTAAGAGAAAGAGTGAGTAAGGCAGAGCTGAGACGGATGAATTAATGAATCAATTCATCATTATGATGAATTGATCAACATTTTCAGTCCTATAGAGAACAAAACCTCCCATTTACCTTGGCATCCCTTTTTCATTTCAGAAAGGAAATACGGCTGCCATGTCAATTGGGATTGTCTCTGCTAAAGTGCGCATGTTTCATCCCGAATCCACCATGATATATCCTAAGGAATATTTGTGCACCGTCGCATCAGTGCCCACAATAAGGTTCCTTTAGCTTGACACGTTTATCTGACCACACTTTTGCACATTCCCATCCATCAAACCCAAGGTCAGGCTATCAATCTATAGTCTGGTTTGGGGTATCTGTTTAAATGCTCTTTTTTCATGGGTTGAGGTGTGCAGGGCTGTAGCTAGGGGGTGGCAAGGTGGGGCCCCACCAGGGGCGCAAGCGATGGAGTGTGTGTGTGCAAAATCAGCTAAAAATATGTCCGTAAATATAAATATTGATTATTTCTTCATAAGAAATGGTTTTAAATAGAGGGTGAATTGAATGGGCGGAAGGGATGGGGGGTTGGAGGAGAGGCAGAAAGTAGAGCTAATTTGTCCATGGCTAGGGGGTGCAATCTGGACGGTTCTGCCAGAGGCGCAAAATCACCCAGCTACGGCTCTGGAGGTGTGCACCTTCCTCCAACACAGTCGTAATGAGACACGTGTTTCTTTACTTCTTGGAAAGACGGACTTCAGAACAAACATGCAGGAGGACGCTGCCATGTGAATGTTAATTTGGGAGCCCTACTGAACTCACGGAGCAGGCGTGGGTAAGCTATGGCCCTCGTAGGGTTGTTGTGGGAGTTAAATAAGGAGACATCTCACCTTGAGCTACTTGGGGGTGGGGAAGGTGGGCTATCTTGTGAAACAGGGATAGCTCAGTTGGTTAGAGCATGGTGCTGATAAATGCCAAGGTTGCAAGTTTGATCCCCATTTGAGACAGCTGCATATTCCTGCATTGCAGAGGGTTGGACTAGATGATCCTCAGGGTCCCTTCCAACTCTACAGTTCTATGAGATAAAAAGCTGGTTGTAAAGAGACGGTCCTCAAAGGTAAGAATTGAGTCCTGTTCTGCCTCTGACGATCCATGGATGGTGGTGTTGCAGGAATTTATGTATGGGGGAGGGTTGCCCCTCCAGCAGATATCATGCACATGCAGCCCACTACCAAAATCAGCACAATCACTTTTGTGACTTTTGTGATTTGTCCCCACAAAACACTTCATCAAAGTTTCTTCCTATCCATTCAAAGGGCCTCTGCTGCACAATACCAAATGTAACAATTTGCTGATAAATGTATCTATGTACTGACTCACTGTGAAAACTTCAGAAATTCATATAGACATGTGAGCTCAGCTACTCAGCAGCCCCTCTGCCTGAGTGATAATCCCTGGCATCCTGATACCTGAGTGCCAGACAGGTAGCCATTCCAGAAATAACAAACCCAGATGAAGACAAAAGGGTGTGATTAACTTGGCTGGGAACAGGGAAATGTAAATATCTCTTTTGTTACACTTGATGGGTGTTTGGTGGAGGGCAAGGGGAACCATGGGGGAGGGTCCAGGATGCTCAGATTACTGCTACCAGACCTCCCCTTTCATGATGTAACCATGATGTATTAGTGATGTAGTTGGGGGGGGGTGTAACATGGGTTTGGGTTTGGGTTCTCTTTTGTTTCGGGCTTCCATCTTGTTCCACCTTGTGGCAGGTGGGAATCCTGTCACGACAGTCTTCAATAAAGACCAAGCCTACAGGCTGCTGTTTTGCTCTGGTATTCCTGGCTGGTGTCCTTGTTTTTTGTCCAAGGCAGCCCTCAGATTTCTCCGTTAACAGTGGAGAATGTGAAATATCAGAAACCAGGAAACCTTTAAGCACGCCATCCAAGTCCAATCAAACTTGGATTCCAACGGGCAAGTTCAAACACGCCTCGAGATCAGCGGTGCCTCAAAATCCTATTCCTTTATCCAAATTGCGTCCAGTGTCAGAGCTGAACATGTCCGGGTTTATCCGGACACTGGCAGGATTTCAAAGGCGGCGTCCGGGGGAGGAGGAGGAGGAACGTCTGGAAGGCAGCGCTTTGTCCTGGATCTTAAACAAGTCAATCGAAAAAAAACACATTTTTTGAAAAAAACAGACAAACATGCAGGAGGACGGTGGGTATTTTCTAAAAGAAGAAGAAAAATCTGCTCTTTTGTAACCCCCCCCCCCGAATGTGCATGACTGCATGCAAAATCAATGCTTCTTTCTCTAATTGGCTGCTACTACTGAAATGGTATAGTTAAAACCATGGTTTCCCAGTAGTGATGTATGGAAGTGAGAGCTGGACCATAAAGAAGGCTGATCGCCGAAGAATTGATGCTTTTGAATTATGGTGCTCGAGAAGACTCTTGAGAGTCCCATGGACTGCAAGAAGATCAAACCTCTCCATTCTTAAGGAAATCAGCCCTGAGTGCTCACTGGAAGGACAGATCGTGAAGCTGAGGCTCCAGTACTTTGGCCACCTCAAGAGAAGAGAAGACTCCCTGGAAAAGACCCTGATGTTGGGAAAGATGGAGGGCACAAGGAGAAGGGGACGACAGAGGACGAGATGATTGGATAGTGTTCTCGAAGCTACCAGCATGAATTTGACTAAATTGCGGGAGGCAGTGGAAGACAGAAGTGCCTGGCGTGCTCTGGTCCATGGGGTCACGAAGAGTCGGACACGACTGAACCACTAAACAACAACAACAACAACAACAACAACAACAACAACAACAACAACAACTTAAATGGTTCCAGAGGCTTACAGATCTGATATATTTGTTGGTTGCTTGGTGCCAGAGGCCTAAGGTTTCCATGATGCTCTTTGTAAAACTTCACTTTGGTCCACTACTGTGTTAGCATAACCAAAGAATTGCATTGCGGGTAACGGCCTTTCAGAAACCTCTGCTTTCTGACCTTTACTTTATTCTATTCACCCGAGCAGTTATTTGCAAGTATGCAGACACAATTGTCTTGGCTTTTACTTTATGAAAAGCTGCAGCCCTTCCTTATCTGCCCGATCGTTGAAGAGGCTTGCTTATCTGGCTGGAAGAATTCGGGACCAGAAGGAGGAGGACTATCAGGAAGAATGGACGAAATTTAAAGACTATTTAGACAAATATGTTAAGTTAAATTAACTGGAAAAGCTTGCAAATACTAGATAGGCTTAGGATTTTAATATGTAATGTGATGAATTAATATGTTTAATGCTGAATTGGAAGGAAAGAAAGATGTTAAGTGATTTAGTTAATTTTATAAGAATATTGGTTTTGGGAAACCGTTAAAAGGATATACACTGAAATTCAACCAGGGGGATACGAGGAAGTCACTTAACAATGTTACTAAGTTTGGTTTAAATACGGTGGAGATTTATGTTTGTTTGTCTATTTGTTTGTTTGTTTTTTAAAATCAATAAAAAAAATTGGGGGAAAAAGAAGAGGCTTGCTTATTGACTTAGAAACAGGTGCTTTTTTACAGGATTTTTTGGAGCTAGCTGACCTAACCGGAAGAGTCTGCGACCAGAAGGAGGAGGAGTATCAGGAAGAGTGGATTAAATTTAATGATTACTTAGTTAAATATGTTAAGTTAAATTAACTAAGAACAGCTTGCAGATACTTAATTGGTTTAGGATTTTATTTATGTTAAGTGACGAATTAATATGTTTAATTTCTGAATGTGAAGATCTAAGGATGTTAATGTTTAAGTTAAATCTTAGAAGAACTGTGATTTGGAAAACCGTTAAAAGGACATGCAATGAAATTCAACCAAGGGGAAGCGAGGAAGTCACTTAACAATGTTAATAAGTGTAATTTTCAATAAGGCTATGCTTGTTTGTCTTATGTGTTTGTTTATAATATTGTGAAAACCAATAAAAAAAATTGGGGGAAAATTGAAACAGGAGGTGCTTTTTAAAAAAAAATGAAATAAAATAAAAAGTTACTGGGGAAAACCCCGGTCGTAAAGTTCGCCTTCGCCTTTCAGGAGTTTCCCGCCAAGATCTAAGAAGAGTAGGCGGCGGCGGGAGAAAAAGAAGGCGAGCGTGCAAAGCCCAGAGGCCGCCGGCGCGGCCGGCCGCTCCCCTCCGCCGCCCTCCCGCCTCAGGCCGAGGGGAGCCCGGCGGCGAGCGTGCGCCACGCCGGCCGAAGCGCTGCGGAGCGGGAGGGAGGGAGGGGAGCGAGGCGAGGCGGGGAAGCGCGCCGGCCCCCGGCCCGCGTGACGTCACGAAACTTTCCCCTCCGCCGCGGAGGCTCCGCGCTTGAAGCCAAGGAGGCTGGCCGCCTGCCGCTGAGGCGACTGGCTGAGGCGCTTTCCCCTGCCGCGCCGCCGCGCGTGCGCCTCCTCCACTTCGCCGGCTGCGCTCCCCTCTCCCCGTCTCCATCTCTCTCTCCCTCTCTCTCTTTCGGGCGAAGTTTCGTGGCGTCGAGCCTCCGCCGCGCTCCCTCCAGAGATAGAAAGAGCCAGCCAGGAGCAGCTGCGGGGCGCGCCGCGGCTCCTGAGGGGAGGAGAACTCGCCGGAACTCTGCGGAGTTTGTGCGGCTGGAGAGGCGAACTTGAGAGGACGCGCTGGGATTCCTTTTTATCCGCGAGAGGACGGAGACGACGACGAGCTTCGGAGGGGGTGGGTTCTTCTTCGACTTCGCTTTTGCTCGGAGACGAGAGCAGCTGCCCGGCAGCTTCCCCTTGGCGGAGAGGGAAGCCTGTGGAACGCCGCGCGGGGGCCTCTTCGGCGACGCTGGCTGAGGAGGAGAAGGCGCTTGGCGGGAAGACCAGGCGCCGGCGGCGTTTCCCCCCCCCCCCTCCCTCACACCGCCAGCCCCCTCCCCGTCTCCCCCGAAACTTTTGGGAAGGGCGAGTTGGAGGGAGCTGAGGGAAAGCGCCCCTTCCCTCGGCTCTCGGCGGAGTCCCGCTGGGCTGTGGAACTTCTCCAGCCGCCACCTTCCCCGCCCCCCGTCCCCCCACCCGCTGGCTTTTGCAGCATTTCTGCAAAACAGACCGTGCGGGGGGGGGGTAGGGAAGGCGTCGCCTTCTCGGGCCGGCGGAAACCAAAAAGTTCCCGTTGCGCTTTGGCTCCGCTCTCCAACTCCTAGGGTCCCAGCCCCCCCCCCCTAGAAAACACTTGAACCCCACCCCCCTCCCATCCCAAGTTGATGGGCATTGCCATGCCATCAGAATCGCGCGCCGAGTCACGTGATCGGTTCTGCGGGGCGGGGCTTACCTGCCCCCCCCTCCCGCCCCGATATTGTAGTCGAGTTGCTCCCCGGTTCCTCCATCTCTGCAGCGGGTTGGTTGGTTTTTTTTTTTTGCAGCGAGATCTCCGCTCCTGTGTTAAAGGTTGCGATCCTTGGCTTTGCTTCGAAGTGGGACTTCTGTGTGAACCCTCCCCCCCCACTCCCACCGCCTTCGGGTGTAACCGGGGTGACCGTGTGCTTGCAGGCTGAGCTCGGTCCCGCCACCGACTTTTTTGGGGGTACTCTGCTTAAGCGCTTTGTGGATCGCGCTTGGCTCGGGTGGAGCTGCGCCTCTGCCCGGCCGCTTGCGAAACGCGCGGCGGCTTTCCCTGCCTGTTTGTTTATAAGAGAGGTCTGCGGGGTAGGTAGTCATGATCTAAGGCTGCAGTTGTGGTTTTTTTAAATATATATAAAAAATACTTGTGCCGCAGGCTGCGATCCAGGGATAGAGTGAGTGTCAGCAAGTGCCAATCAGGTGGATTCTCCCCACCCCCCGCCGGGGAGGGATCTGCTTGGGAACGAGGCTTTGGAGGGGTTAGAAAAGGAAACCGGTGTAGCACGCAATGCTTATGGAAAGAGACGCGAAGGCAGGAAGATGCTTCCAAGTACAGAAAGTATTCGCTCTTTTTGGTGCAAACTGTTCGCCTCATGCATGTTTCTGACGATCGAGGGTGATTTGATATGATTCAGGCTGCGGATCTGTAGCCACTTGCCCCTTTAAGTTCGGTAAAACTTCACATGCAGTGTTGCAGTATGTGTAGCTTGCCGTTTGCCGGTCCCCATTTCGATGGTATATAGTCGTGTGGGAAGAACTGGCATTATGCTCTGTTGACTAGAATGCATTTTTAAAATCCTTTATTGTCTTACAGGGAATATGGGGTGTGTCTGTGTGTGCGCACCACCTCAATCTGCATTTTTTAATGTCGCACATACAGTAGCAATCCTAGGCAAGCTTTCTGATGAATAATAACCTCTAAATTCATGCGAACCTTTCTAGTAAGTGTGTTTATGATTGTAGCCTAAAAGCTACTGTCAAATATAGCAACAAATGAGCACATCTGAAAACGAAATGTGAAGGGAAAAAAGGTTTCTTGAATTCTGAAGATGCGAAAGGGTATGATGAGTGGTTTGAGAATTAAAGAAAAAGATATTTGCTTTTTGTTGTCCCACAGTGACCATCTTCTGCTGGCTCAGCCAATGTGCTCAGTGTCTTGAGAACAAAACTGACACCACTGCGGGGACTAATGAACACAGGGATAGTTTTGCAAAGTCAACCTTCTGTGCATATACAGACAAAAGCACCACATGTGACTTAATTCCATAAGACACAGGACTTGTGGGGGGGATGGGGCATCCGCATTAGTTTCTCATTTGAGAAGTGCTGAAGTAACAAACCTAGGGCTGCCATATGTCCTGATTTTCTAGGGCATGCCCTGGAGATTGGGTCCTGGAAATGGGGTCCTGGAAATCAGGCAAATGTCCTGGAAAACCGGCAATGGGGGTTAAATCGTGCCAAAAATGCCTTTAAAAAAAGGTCCCAAATTCAATAATTCTTGTAGCTTTTACTAAAAAAGCAGCAACTTTGGTCCGCCCTCCCCTGCAAAACCCCACAACTCTGTCCTGATTTTCACTTTCGAAGATATGGCAACCTTAAACAAACCTTGAGCTCTGGGTTCCAGAGTTGTAGAAGAGGGGCAAAGTTAAAACATTGAAGAATTAAGCTTCTGTGACATTTCTTCAACTCAGTCAATAGCATATATTTCCTAATGTCACTCCAGCTCGATCTAGTGATAAATGAACATACAAAAGTCAATGTAAAACTCATTTTCATGCAAGGGATGAAAGTCGGTCAGAACAAAGAAGGTTAATTGCAGTCTTGAAAGTTTTGACATTCATTAAGCTATCCTCTGCCTAAATGTTAAAACTGGAGAAGGATGGGAAAACATCTATATTCATAACGATCTCTGTGTCTTTTATCGTTTTGCCCCCCTTCTGTTGCTCTAATAGAAATTTGAAACTTTTGTCTCAATGCGATGCCCTTAAAGAGAGCAATATTGCCTTGCTGTCATGAAGAAACGGTCCCTGTAGCTCACCCTACTGTTCCCAACAAAGGTTGCTCATTGCCTCTGAGAAGTTCACAAATGAGACAAGCAGCCACTGTTGCTTGTGCCACACGTATCTCATAACTGGAGGAAACTTCCTTTGAGTACAGAGCTCTGTTTCTAGCAGTCGTTCCAGTGAGTGCACTATACTGAAATAACCAAGAAGTTAGCATATCGTAGGAGTCGCTGATGTGTCTTTAGTTTGCACTATGGAGAAAACTGGTATTTAACATACATATGTTTCAGCAGAAGTGTTTTAACAATGATCTATCTGATGCTTTTGCAACTTCTCTGTGAAAGGCGAAGCTTGGTGATGGTATCAACCTTTTTTTATAACACCGCTTTTATTTACATGTTTGCCAGCTGAACAGAGAGACAGTGGGTAAGCACCCTGCTCTGCAGGGGCTTGGGGCCTGCAGCAAAAGTGGTAATAATTCTTGGGCCTCTTCCAGTACACAAGTAGATCAGGACCTAGGGCAGCTCCCTGTGGACCCTGCTGGCCAGATAGGGAAGATGTATCAGCCATTGGAGACTTGAGCAGTAAGCCATCTTTAAAGGGCCTGCGGCATATTCTGCAATTGCATGCTCATCTGTGGTGGTGGAGCAACAGATGCTTCAGGAGGCTCATCCTTAGACGTTGAAGACAATAGGATTACCACACCCTCAAGCCAAGGCAGTGTGGAAGGGGGTGCTGAGAGCTCTCCCTTGAATCGAGGTTCCTGTTGCACTGTTTGAATCAGAGTCTTCCACAGACTGAAACTGGGGCCCTGAGACAGTAGACAGGCACCCAGATAGTACCAGGTACAGTGGTACCTCTGGTTATGTACTTAATTTGTTCCGGAGATCCTTTCTTAACCTGAAACTGTTTTTAACCTGAAGCACCACTTTAGCTAATGGGGCCGCGCCGCTGCAGTGCAATTTCTGTTCTCATCCTGAAGCAAAGTTCTTAACCCGAGGTATTATTTCTGGGTTAGCGGAGTGTAACCTGAAGCATATGTAACCTGAAGCGTATGTAACCCGAGGTACTACTGTATTAAAGAAGCAGTCAGTAGATTTTTGTTTAAGATGTATTTCTTTTGTCGGGGACATTCCACCTACCTAATCTATTTGGAGCCCTCATCCAAGCACCGGGGGGGGGGGGGTAAGCTCTAGCTAGCAGCAGCAGCCAGGCACTGAGGCCATTGAAGAAAAATCTTTCATTATCAGCCAGGCAAGAGATTTGGGGGGAGAGGGTTATTCCCTGTCTTGAGCGCTATGACATAATGCTCTATTTTAAAGAAGAAAGTAGAGGTGGTAGGTGGTTCTGCATGAATATAGCGCTGCACATCATATTGCCATTGGCAAGCAGCATGGCCCAATCGTTTCATTGGGTTGTGGCTATCAGGTGTTGTTTTATTTAGTCCACTGTGGGCTGACTTTTTCTCTTATCACCCCTGCATTTTCCAGAGTGACCAGGATCTCTCTGTTTGCCTTCATTGACTGGTCACAGGTACACAATTTGTACCCTTCATAACTCGAGGGCTGGCTGGTGGTCCTGGCAAACTGCTGTCTACTAAAGTACAGTGGTACCTTGGGTTACAGACGCTTCAGGTTACAGACGCTTCAGGTTGCAGACTCTGCTAACCCAGAAATAGTACCTTGGGTTAAGAACTTTGCTTCAGGGTGAGAACAGAAATCTTGCAGTGGCGGCAGCGGGAGACCCCATTAGCTAAAGTGGTACCTCAGGTTAAGAACAGTTTCAGGTTAAGAACGGACCTCCAGAACGAATTAAGTTCTTAACCCGAGGTACCACTGTATGCACATTGGTTATAACTCAGTTCTATTCTATTTTGTTTGAACATTGTGTTTACAATTACTGTTTGATATAATTTGATACAATCAAATTGATACAGTTTGATATAATCAAATTGATACAGTTTGATATAAGCAAAATGATACAATTTGATACAAAAGATGCTACACGATTGAATGTTTTCTTGTTATTTGTCAAAGTGCCTCATTTTTGGTAGGGATGTACATTTTGATCAGGCAAAACCCCTTTAAAGTTCATTTGTAATGACCAAATAAAGCATTTGTTTTACACTTAATAAAGTTACATTTACCTTGTTATACTTCAGGATTAGCAGTTCCTTGTATTCATTTAGCCCCAACAAAATAGTGCATCAAGGTAGGGAATAATGAAAAGTAGTGACTTGTGTGTGTGTGTTGCTTATATATGCATTTGTTAATCAATGGGATACACGGGATTTAGTAGCTCTCAGGTTTCCTTAAAGAAATTTCCCTTAACA